GACAATGTTTTTTTTTGGCAAGTTTTTTCCAACCTATGTATCTGATGCGTGTGATTCCTCCACTAATAAAGGAAGTCTCTGGCACCAACATACCATTGTCAGTGAGATTCCATATGTCTTCCCCAAAAGTTTAATTATTTACACTCAACCATCCTCACTTGTTCTGTTGCAAGAGGGACGCAGAATTATCCTGGCATACGCACCACCTTCAAGAGCAGATAAGTTTATTCAGGCAACAATCATGTGTTAAGATACTGATGGAACACAACACACTATCAAACTGGCTTAAGCTCAGAACAGTTAAATAGGCCCTCAGAGCTAAAACACCCATCCTGGACAGCTGAAATCTACCACCGTTGTTTTAGAATCTGACCACAAGGAAAGAGGTACAAGATCCTCAGCGTGGCTCTGTGTGTCTAATCTTTGTTCTTACATAAAAAAGGAGAAAATGCTGTACTCTCAAGGACTGCCCATACAGAATAGCTGGTTGAGAAAGCAAACAGTAAATCCAGCAGATGGGAATTTTACAGCCCTGAATCACTTGCCTGCCAAGGGAACCATTGAAGGCAGAATCCAGCAAGAGAAACAAAGTCTTATTCCAGATGAAGAGAGGAATGGGCTGTAGCTACAGTTGTGAATTTTCCTCTCATAGCCAGAAGCACGACTGTCCTTTTCTGTTCATAATGGCCTCTGGAACAAAAACACAAGTTACAGTTGTCCAGGTGGCCCCACACTGTCCAGAGATGATCTGGTTCTTGTACCTAATTAGATACCAAAACTTGGTCATATTTTCTCAGCAAGAAGTTTTTGCTTAAAGATAAAATTCTGCACTTAAGGCCAGAAAACTTAAAGCAATGACATTCAGATGTTCAACACCTTAACCCATAGATATTCTTTCCTTTAAAAGAAATGTATCTTTCTGTTGCAATTGCTTTGGCCAGAAACACACGTGGGAGGTTAAGATCTTTGGGAACAACAGTGTTGCCCTTCTCATGAGGGCAGAGTTCTGCCAGTAGATTACACAGTCACTGTTCCCAAAATAACAGGGTTTCAAGAAAATCTTGCTTTCCCATCCCGTTTTGTTTTTGTGCAGAACAGTTTTGACACCACCACACAATGCTCTAGCATAATCTCAATGTCAGGAAAACTCTAAATATCTTGAATGTAGTATCCAGTTCAGAAAGTGCAGCTCAGTTGGACCCCATCACAAATTTTAAAACACCCAGCTACTAAGGCTTTGATCATTAGATGACTCAGCTGATACATTTGAGAAGCTTTCATAGTTAGAAGATTTTTTCCCTCTGTTTCAAATATTTGTGGTTATTCATTCAGTCAGGGAAGCATCCTGGCCTGAAGGATCAGATTCATCATACAAAGTTATATAGGATGATCACTGGACTACACTTCATATCTTAACTATGTATACAAATTAAGCTGGTAAGCCTCTTCTGTCCAGTGGAAGAATATTTTAATATATATGTTCATTTCTGTATCTGTCTCACATGACAGTACTAGTGGACATCCCCCTTGTAACAGATCTGCAGACTTTCCCTTCAAAGAAAAAGAATTTATTTCCCTATCTATAAATTTCATTTCTTCTAATGGCCAAGTCTGCAGATCCCACAGGGATGCTAACTGGGAAGGAAATTTAAATAATGCCACACTCCTTAGTTTTTTTGTGAACTCTATTATATATTAGAGTAGACAGAGTTGCACTGCAGTTGGAAGTGTTAGCGTGATTTTCTTGGTGTATCTCCCTGTGATAGAAGCTGTGATAGATTTTGGTTCTCTGAAGTACCTTTGGAATTACCTTGAACTGGGAGAGTTTTTCAGGCCTGTGGCTATACCTAGCTTCCCTCGATTGATTGGTCTGATTTCTGTGTCCATGTAATTGCAAGCAGGCCAAGGCCCTTCATGGTCCATCCATGGACTTACCTGCTAGAAGAAAGGATATTTCTAGACAAGTTAAGAAATTTGCCATTTGCCCTTTATTTCCTATTTGCTCATTATTTAGTATATGCAAGGGCTGTGCTCGCTCTGGGGATGTGAATGAGAGAGGAAGCATATTTTGGAACACTATGGGAGAAGGGAGAGGCAGGGGAGCACCTTAGAGACTAACCATTCTGAGAGGCCTAAGCTTTTGTAGGCAACAGCTAAGGTGCTATACTGCCCTACCTTCTGCCTGACTGGGAGAAGTTACACAGTGGGTCTCAACCTTGTTAGACTCAAAGCACCCCTTAGAAAATGCCAGCTCTTAGCTTTCACTCCTTTTTTGACAGAAAAAATAATAAAGCAATTCTTCTGTTGGGAAGAACTGAGAAAGACCACCACAGGTCAGAATGTTTTTGACACTATCGATTCTAATTTGAAATCTCTGGGTTTATCTTGTGAATCATATGTAAGTGTTTGCACACCTAACAATATTATGCGTCCCCCTTAAAAGGTTCTCATGGCACCTTGGTTGTGAATCACTGAGCTAAACTAAATAAGCTAGGGACTCCCTGCCTGGTCACTACAAGAGACTGTGGCAGGGACCTCCTCTCTCGTTCAGGTCTACCAGGTTTCTACCTCTACTGCCCTTCATTTTCATCTGCCACATCTTGTTTAAAAATTAGAGGGTGGTTAGGTGTTAAGATAAAAGCAAAGATCCACCTGGCTATGGGCAGTCCCCTTTGCAGGGCTCCTCTCCCCCTACAACCAGCTCCTTACCACTCCAGGTTGGGTGCTCAGATCTGTGGTCTTAACTCTTGAATTGCAGCTTGCTCAGACAGTATCCATCATCCGATCCACTGTTGGGGACGCCCATTGTTCATGCATTCTACAATACTCGGTTGGTATTGTAGAGGTATCCAGCCTTTACAGGCTTCCAATCAGACTATTTTGCTTGAAGGACCATTGGGCTTCCCAAGGTACTCAAGACCCTGAGTCTTCTTTTTTTCTAAGGCAATCTAGTCAGCTTCTGTTTCTCCAGGGGAGTCAACAATCACTTTTGCCAGGCTCCCCATAGCATCTTCAGGCTAATTCTCCCTTTAGGGTTGACAAACATTAGCTCATCAAGCCTTTCCTGATGCAACTCAATCAAGTCTTCTTCTAGTCAGGATGGCCTACCATCAGCTAATTTGTTTTACGCTATAAGCCATAGTCTGTCACTTCCTTCATCCCAGTAATTTTAAATACCTTCGTCAATCCCCTGTCTTCACAGAAGAACAATTAATTACCACTATCTTCATTAGTTCTCCTTTTATTCTGGGTGATCAACTAATGATCAATTCATCAATTTCTCTTGATTATGGGGAACAATTAATTATTTATCAATTCATCAGTTCATCTTGATAAAAGATGATCAGTTAATTACCAAAAGTCATCACTCTCTTGATTATAAGTGATCAGTCAATTATCCATAAATTAATCAGTCTCTCTTTTTTATATGCGATCAATTAATTATCCATAAATTCATCTAACACATGTGATAACCTCACTCAATTTACCAGTAGTCTGGGGTCACTTCCTCACAGCATCACCACTTGACCACTTCCTCAAGTAAGGGGTTGGTGGGATTCTTCTTCCCTCTCCCAGTTCCATTCTCCCTGGTCTCATCCTGAGCCTTCCCCTGGCTTACTGGGCACCACCACCATATCCCAGTACAGCTGCTGAGATACGTCTCCATATGGTGTGCTCCAAGCCCGCTGTGCATTCCCCTCTCTGGGGGAAGTCTGTGCTGGCTCCTCTCTATAGTCCACTGGAACTCCTGGGACACAATGAAGGCTCATTCTCCACACACGTGGCCACGTGCAGCTGAGATTCTGCTTCTGCTGTAGGGGCCACATACGGACTGCTTCTCTGGCCACTCCAGTGGCTGTGCAAACCCATCGGACTTTCCAAGAGTTCTCCAACCCCATCCCACCAGCACTTATTGCCTGGAACAGGGACCAGAACTGGATCCCTGTTACAGTCATTCTTCACTTTGTCTTTAGCTATTAAGTTTGTGATACCCAAGGTATTGAAGTGTGTCATTTGTTATCAGTTTGTGAATCCTGTTACCTCCTTTGTTTCTGCATAGAATATTGTCTCTATAAAATGTTCATCATTTTTACCATTATTTAAGTAACTCTCAGAATTGGCCTCTGCTCCTGGCACATTTAGCATTTAATTGATTCAACAGATTCCTAGTTTAAATGCAAATGCTTTCTTCAAAGATGTGCTTTAAAGATGTAGTGTGCCAGAGATTAAGATCAATTAGCATTAATTTCAAAACAGTCTTTGTGCTTGCTAACAAATTACTAGTAGCAGAGCTGGCCTGAGGGAAAAAGGTGCCCTGGGTAAACTTTTCTTTTGTGCATCCCGCTCCCCCAGTCAGCACTGCTGCTGCAAGCAGAGGCATAGACAGAGGCAGGTGGGCAGGGGAGGTGGGGAGGTGGAGCAGCATGCTGTGCCAGGCAGGCGGACAGGCAGAAACAGGCACCCATTCCACCTGGCTCCTCATGAACAGTGGCTGGAGGTGGGGGGTGGGTTAAGCTGGGCACTGCTCTTCTTGCCTGGGGTGGGGATTGGCCAGGGTAGGGCAGGGTTGGGGGACAGCACTGCTGTGAGTACAGGCTGCTCACACGTGTATTTGCACATGTGTGCACACGTGTGTGTGCATTTGGCGCCCCCTGACCATGGCACCTTGGGCAGTCACCCGTGACGCTCACCACTTAGGCTGCCTGTTATTAATATAGATAGCGGTCAGCCTCACTTCTCCACTATGCTTTCCAAAAATTCATCAGGACATTTCAGCCATCTATTTGCCCAGTTGTATCCTAATATACAGCATTTGACTTTGAACAAGGTGAAAAGAGATGGTGAGGAAACTAATAAAAGTGCAATTCTGCAAGGTGGAGCTACCACCAGCCTCTGGGAGTCATAGAGGTCAGTAGGTAGCAGGATAGACCCTGCATTGTGCTTTCTGGATTAGTGTCAGTTCCTGTGTGGGCAGAGCTCAAGCTGTGTGACTGTTCCAGGTGCTGTTGGCCAAAAAGAATAAAGTCCAGGAGCCAAAGAAACCCCTTCGATTCCTTCAGAAAGTAGCAAAACCCGTTCCTCGGCCCCCAACTCCAATGCTGGAAACGCCATCAACCGTAAGTTGGATGCTTTTAGTAGTTTTTCCTGTAAGCCTTCTATTGACTCAAAAACCATCCAGAGTGATACAGATTGCTTGTCAGTTCTGAATACACAGTACTAGCAGACAACTTAAGCACAGTTACAAGGAGCTTATTTTTAGACTGTTACTACCTCATTGCTTAAGCTTTTTAACATCTGAGGTGGCAAAAAGCCCGCCCTGACAATGGGCATAACTTTAAATAATCTGTCCTTAAGACAAAAAAAGTACATAAAACACCCTTGTTCCTTGGAAACCAAAAGAAAAGCACCACATGCCTTCTTAGAGGCAGAGCAGTGCAGCCTCTCCCACTGTTTTAGGATTTGGGTTTGCAAGTTGCCAAACAATCTGCCCAAGAGTCCAGCAGAGGAATGAGACTGACAACAATCTTATTTTGCTGCAATGGGGTTAAGGTCCCTGCTGCTAGGAGCACTGAGGGCAGAAAGACTCTTCTGTGTTCTTGGCACTTTCCTTTCTCGCCCTAGTCACCAGGCAGATGTTGGCAGCAGCTGGTGTCTGCAGCAAAAGCTTCCTGCCAGAAAGAGGGCAATGTCAAGGGGGAAGTGGCAGAAATCATGGCAAGCTGGGCAGAAGGAAGCATAAAAGATGGAATGGAAACATCCATTCCAATCCTATTCAATTCGCTTCCTGCCGCTGCCAGATACAACTCACTGGCCCCCAGCAACCTGCCACAGGCTCAGAGACTGCTCCTCCCATCATTTAGTACCCTACTCTCCACTGTGTTCTCTGGGCTGCTCCAATCCCCAGCCTGCCTCTGCAATCCCCCCAGCCTTCTGCTTCTAGCACATATAACAAGTAAGTGCCAGTTTACCCTCTCACCTCCACTACAGTCTCAGGGAGGCAGTGGCACTCCTCACTGTGGTCATTCCTAGAGCTGAAGATAACCTGGCAGCTCTCCACCTCCCTCTGTGTACATGAACCCTGTAGCTGCAGTTTGACTTACTCTTCTGCCTCTGACTGGCGGATGTCCCAGTTTCCAAGAAGAGTTCCAGTCTCCCTCTCCAGTTAAGGTACCTTGTGCCTCAGTGTCTCTTCTGGCTGGATAATCTAGAGGAAGTTACCTTTCCAGCCTGCCTATAAAGTTTTGTCTTCCTGGAAAGTCCAAAGGAAAGAGAAGTCCTTTCCTGAAGGTCTGCTTGGCACCCTTCATGATGCTGGAAAGCAAAGGGATGCTTCATGCAAACCCCAGCCTAGGGTGGGCAAGTGCACACAGTCAGACTCACATCCACCTGGGTTCTGTCTCTTACTTCCCCCACACACCTTGAGGCTTCCCATCTCAAGGCAGGACTTGCAATTTGTTTCTACTCCTACCAAAAACATGTCTCTCCCAACTCCTCAGGCTTCCTCCTACCCTGCCTTTCCTATGCACTTGTGTAGGCTTTGATCCAGGCCTTCTGTGACCTTGGCTGCCTACTCCAGATTGGACCCTACCTGGTACCTTAGCAAGGAGAACCATTGTCAGCTTTACCTTTTCCCTGGTAGAGAGCTTGCCTTGTATAGTCACATCCCATTTCCCGGCATGCTGTGTCAGCCTTGCTCGGGTTCTGACCTGAATTCAAGAACGAGCTCAGCTGAGCCTTTAGTTAGATTCCCTTAAAGGGGTAGTACTCCCTGTTACAAAGCTCAGTGTAAAGCAACCTGTTTGCTTCCAAACTGCCATTCACTGGGCCTTTAAATTCACTACAGTATATCAGTAAATCCCACTGCAACAAGGAACATTAGTGAAAATATGCAAAATGTTCCCTTTTAAATTAATTAAATAAATAAATAATAATTGCTAATAGGTAATCTCCATTGAACTTTCCTAAATACTACTCCTTCTTCCTTGTTCTTAGAGTTTATGGTCATGCTGATCATGTGTCCGTTATAACCACATTTAGTCAACCTGTGTACGGTTCTTTTAGTCTATATCATAATTTTCTCCTTCAACCCCCTAATAACTTGTTGCTGCACTCTAAACTCCCTCCATGAACTCCTACCACAACCTCTTATGTCTTTGTCTTATCTGTCTCTCATAACATTCAGAAACCTACATTATTTGACTTATCTCCATTCCTGGAAATCAGGAGAGCAATGATAAAAATCACCACAAAAATAAACCAGAGATGAATTGTATTCTGAGAAAGATAGTGTGATGAATAGCTTTTCCAGCTCTCCTGCAAGCTCTTCCCAAAGAGAAGAGATAGATCGTAACTGGATTTTTGTTGTGTCTTGGCAGAGAGAAGAGGAGATTGAAATGGCAGTGATCTTTTTGCAGAAGTTAATCCGAGGCAGAGCAATTCAGAACATGGTATATTATGTCCTTGGGCTTTCTTTTATCTTCCAGGTGCTGATGGGGGCTACTGAAGGTAGGCCCCAGTTGTGCAGGGGCTAGGTATTAACAACCTGGCTCCAGCACAACTAATCCAGCCAAAGCGTTCTTGAGCAGTAACTCCCCATAATGCTGATCCTCCTAGATTGAAAACCTTGCTTATTGTCCCAAATTACTGATAGACCATTCCAGGTCTTGGGAAAATGCCTGTGCCCCCCACTGAGAACTACTGTAGTCCTGTTCAGGGCTTTGGGCTAGGCCAATGATTCTCAACCAGGCATACCTCAGAAAATGCCAGATCCTATATTTCACTCATTTTTAATACAAAAAAAGAGTGATTCTTCATTGCAAAGAACTCAGAAAGACCACAACAGGTCAGAAGTTTTTTGAAATCTCTAGGTATCTTTTGTTTGTACTCCTAACAGTGCATTGCATGGCACTCTTGAAAGGATCTCTAGGCACCCTGGGTGAGAATCCCTGGATAGGCCTTTGTCTTCAGGTCTGGCCAGTTTTGAACATTTTGCCTATCCAGGGGGTTAGTTTTCTACCCTTGCTGCTTGTCTCTGGACCACTGAGATTAATTCTGTTTCTTACTGTTCTGGATAGCAGCAATGGGCTCTGTGTAATAAGAAACACAGTTAGAAAATGGTCAAGGTGGAACTTGGGTTTTCCAAGTCTCTCTCCCATCCTTAATGGTCCCCTGGGATTATTGCCTCTGGCCCCATTTCAAGGCTTCTGATTGTCACAAAATTTCTCCTTATTTTTAAGGACTTCTCATAAGTTTCTGGCTGAGTTGGTTGTGAGGCTGTTGGATCACGAACTGGCTGGAACTGCTGTTTCTACCCAGCATCCCACAGTGTGCTACCACTTACCTTCCTGTTGTCTAGAGAGTCTTAGTTCCCTACTCAGTGGGAGTAGGGGACACTCCCACACACCGCCCAAATGCAGAAGGCACTGGGTCGAGAAGGGGCAACACCAAGTGGGGTTAAACAAGGTAGATTAGCAGTTCCCAGGACAGGGAGAGCAAGGCCTCCACTTCCATCTCTCTAGCTGTTCCATGTGGAAAGGCAGAGAGCAGCGGATACCAGGCGGGGACACGAGGAAGGTAGTGGGGAGAGGAAAAAACATGACTTCCTTTGCCGGGTAAAGATCTGGGCAAATCCTAACATGACTGAAAGAGAACGGAGGTTCTCCTTTGACTAAGTAATAAAAGGGTTGTTTGTGCCCATATCTTCATTGCAGAGGGCTTGGTTTCCTGTCAGGAGCATCAGAGAAATTCTTCAAATGTCCAAGCATTAATGGTAGAGAATTTGATCTTGGAAACAGATGATCCCAAGGCTCAGAGGAAAAGGATGTTTTCTGTTTGCAAGACTCTTTAGATTTTATCTCTCATCTCTATTTCAAAGATGTTTGAAGGGAAAGAGAAGCGGCTAGAACTGATTCGGGAGCTACGTACCACCCATGCACTGCAGGAGGACAGACAGCTGCTAAAGAAAGCAGAAAAGCAAGTGACTCTGGCTTTGCAGAGACAACGTGACTTGCATGAGCACAAGGTTTGGCTATAAACCTGCATAGAATAATCCTGTTCCTTCGTCCACTCCTGTTCCTCCCCTCCTTTCCCCCCTCCCCATCACAGCCATTTATTTTCTTGTTCCAATTATACCAACCTACTTAGAAAATACTGCAGAAATTAATTGTGTGATCCCTGTCAAAGAAATCTCCAAAATGAGCCTAAGTAGGCTTCCTAGCTGGGGGCAAAGACTGAACAGATGTGGGGACTGAACTTTTCTTTCATTGCTAGAAGGGTTCCTTTTGAGTCCAACAGGCCCTGTGAACAGAGAGCACCATAGCTAGAAGGTTGCCTAGCTGCTGCCCAGGCTGTACCTCCTTTTGTCACTGGAGTATGAGTATTTCCAGAGCTCTCAGTACATGAAAAATGTGCATTGTTATACAAAGCAGTTTGGCCGGATTACAATCTGCTTGACTGGGGTCAGTTGCCTCCTTTTACAATTGATATCATCCTCCCGTTCAGGTAATGAAGTGATACATGCATGTCATCCATGTGTCAGCCATTTAAATGAACAGATTTTGTGTCATTGTTATTTACTCATAGCTTTGTTCTTCCTGCATATTTACACATCTTTGCACTGGCCTGTCTTGTGGGAATAAACAGGCCATTGTATTGGTTATTGCAGTCCCACCTCATCAAGGAAAGGAGTAAGAGTGGGATCAACCATTAAAGATGTTGATTGCTTGATCTTGATATCTCTGAACCTTGCTCTGGACAATGAACCAATCCCCTGCTGTTTTCTGTTCTACCCCTTGATTTTGCTTTCCGTAGAGCCTGGGGCAAAGACTGCTCCAAAGCTCAGGGCTTTTAACTTGTGGTTAAATCCATCCAAAAGGCTCTCTTCACCTACAGCTTTGCAGGAAGTTTTGTTTGCTTTTGTTTAGGGCAAAGGAGAACCAACCTGCATGTACCAATATTTCTGAAATGTGTGCTTCATAGTACAGGCCATGACAAGGATGCCTGTACAACTGTTGTATAAATGGCTTCCTTTTGAAATTGTACCTTGTAACCTTCCTAAAGGGAAAACTTCCCACTGATCAAATATTTGTATATTTGGGTACACGTGCATAGAAAGTGATTTGCAACTCTCATTTCTTAAGAGACTATGGTAGCCACTTCAAGTACCGGCAGTTCTAATGCTGTTAGAAAAGAACAGTTAGGAAAAAAACAGTTAGGAAATGCTAGCTGAAGCATGCAACTTAATGAAAACTAAAATTCCTGTTTTTGTGGCTAGGAGTAGCATCCTGGTTAGAAACAAAGCTGAAGGAGGTGGATCAGAAGCTACCCTGTTTTCTGGGATTCTTGACAGAAAGCAAAATTCTCATAGAACCCTGGAATATCGTTGTCATCATCTGTTCTAACCAGGTTTTAAACCAGAAAATCATTACATCCAGTGTCCCAAGAGTTAAGGAGGAGGGACAGACAATAGTCCCATGTCTTCTGTTCCCACTAGGATGGTGGGAAGTCTGAACCTTCATCCCTCTATCCTCACAGCCTTTGGCACTTTGAGAAGAGCTCTTTCTCGTATAGCTCTGTGTGGCAGTGACATTTTCACATTCCCGTGTGCTGGTTTAGAAATGTGTAGCAACCTGAAAAGAGGCATGATGATGTGGGAAAGCCCATTTGTTACTACCTGCTACTGGGGGATTTTTTCTTCATGTGAGTTTTACATTTAAATGCATCTACTACCAGCCTTGCCATTCCATCAATAGCCTGGTTTTCTCTACAGCCCTTATTCCTGACACATACCTCTCCCTTAAGTCCATGGGTTTGGTTTTCCAATTCCCAGACAGAAACTGCATTAGCAACTGTTGGACACTTGTGCTGGTTCAGCTGAACTCAGCACAGAAGGCTAGGGAGGGAAGGCAGGGAACATAGCTTTGTTGCTTTTGTACCTACCACATTCTGGGCTTAGGAACTGGAGAAGTCCCCTGCATAAGTCAGAGCAGCCTCAACAGCAAGTTGTCTAGTTGTTTCAGCAGCTCAAAATAGCTTAAGGACAGAGCACTCCTGCATGGCATTCCTCTGTGTTGAAGGAGAAGCGGAGAGTTTATTCCACTACAGCCACCATGAATTGCCCTTGTTCCTAGAGTATTTCCCATTTACCAGTTCTGCCACCTTCGCAGTCCCTGAATGCCAGTTTGGCCTATGCAGAGGGGCTTTAGCACAGCCCGGAACAAGAGCTTTTTATTTAAAAGAAAAGGGCAACACTCAAGTTCATCTCATGGCCTCTCTGTAGGGGGGTTTCAAATGCTTTTGGTGGGGCTGGGGGATAGATTTCTTATGGCCTGTAAGACAGTCTGCCTCTGTTTCATTTTCTAAGCTGTCACAAATCGAGAACCACTTGGCCTGGATAGAAGGGCGGGCACTGGTGAACATGTTTGACTTCCTGTCCAAAGAGCTGGTGAGGTTACAGGAGGAGCGGAGGATCCATGCTTTCACCATGCTGGGTGAGCGGCAGCGGCGGATACGGGAAGCAGAGGAGAGTGGGCGCCGCCAGGTGGAAGAGAGACGCCGGCGGGAGGAAGATGAGATCTTCAAACAGGCAAGTGGAAGAGATTAAGGTGACTGTGGGCAGCTTGGGAGGGTTCACTCTTTATAAGGAGGGTCAAAAATGCTTCAGCTGACTTCAGCGAAACCAGGAGATGTTGGGATGGGATGGTTCTCCTTCTAGTGAAGACATTTTCCCTGTTCAGCTTAATTGTTTGGATCTGGTAGTCATTAAGCCTTGTTTCATAAATAGGGACCTAAGTCATGGCAAGACAGTGGGTTTTTCACAGCCCACACGACACACACAGCTGATTTTGTCAGCATTTTGTGGCAGCTACATCCCTCACTGCCGATTGGTGGAGGACACTTTTACTCAATCTATGTCACTACTGCTTTTTTGGCCCTGCCCCTCACCACTGATTGGCAGAGCATGGCTTGATTCAGTCTACTTCGCTACTGCTTTTTTTTTTGGTGTGGTTTATTTTGCGGGAAATCGCAGCCAATGCTGTATTTCCCAGTGATTGCAGACAACATCGTTTTTCATGGTTTCTACAAAATCTATGAAACTGTGATTTTGGTAGGTCCCCAGTCATGAATATATCTTTGTCTAGACTCCTGTGAGAAACAGCTCTGCTCTCTCTGGACAGGCCAGAAGCTTAGGGCTAATGCCCAGTTATAAGTCAGCCTGCATGGCAGATGGTCTCTCAGTTAAGGTGGTTGTAGGCAGAGATGTTTAGAGACTCTACCTCATTGCAGCTAGACCTTGAATTAGAGCTATAAGCAGTGCGATAGCCAGAACAGCACAAGCTCATTTTAAAGCAACAATAACAGATCACAGGAAATCCCCCAGTCTCACTACTGTCGTATCCCATTGCCTCATTGCTCATTATAAGATGGAGACCTGTCCAGGATAGACTCTGCCAAGGGGGAGTCACAGTTCAGTACTGAGCTCTTCTCCATCACCAATTTACCGTCACTGATGTACTCAGGGAAGCCACAGAGAGTGCTCATAGGGAAAAATAATGTTACCTAAGACAAAAAGCTAAAATATATAAGTGCCCTCCTTTTTAAGGGTAAAAAATTAATCTTGAAGTGAAGTTTCCCTCTAACATTATTTCCTCTTCCCAATTTATCTTGCCCATGCCCTGAGGTGGAAATGAGGATTCAGTACAGTGTGATATAACAGCCCTCTGAATCCTACCAGACAGATCAGTGTCTGAGAACCTTTGGTGTGGATGCATTAGGAGAAAACCAGTCTGTTCAGCCTGTTGTCATTCCACGTTGCTACAGCTGGTTCAATGGAGTATTTTGCTTCAGAATCTGTGTGACTGAAAGCTGATTAGTTTATTGAAGCCAGCTCCTGGCATTTGTCACCAAGACCAGGAGAAAGGGGTGCCATTTAGCAAGCGAAACTAACATAAGGTAGAAAAGATAGGAGAGTTGTGTCTACAAACCTAACAGAGAACAGTTTTGCTTCTGGCATTGTTCTTTTCCTTACAGCAATCTCCTCGGGAAAAGGGCAATAACAAAAGGCTCTTTATGCTATGCTAAGTCCTTTCTGAGCATTTAGAAAATTCTTTCTATGCCAATATGCCCTCATCCTACTCCACTGCAATGGTGGGTCTTCTTCTGAGACACCATGGCCTTTGCCTCGCCCAACAACTGGTCCCAGCAAATAGGTATTACATAGCAGTGAATGTTTGTGCCTTGAGTTAGAGGAACATTGTGGTGTTTGTTTCAGGTGGTCAAGGTGCACCAGAGCACTGTTGATTCCTACCTGGAAGACATTATCCTGAATAGCATGGAGAACACAGCTGAAGAACAAGCCCGGGAAGAGATTCAGAGGATGGCAGTGGAAATCAATGACATCGCTTATGAAATGGAAAGTCGGTATGTCCTAAAAGCCTACCCCTACAGTATATCACTGGTTCTCAACCAGGGTGCCATGGCACTTTGGGGTGCCTTGAGATCCTTTCAGGTGTGCCATGGGGTGCCACACAGTGTTATCACCTTTACATGCAGTATATCACTGCAGTATACAGAGCATACAGATGCAGCATCTCACAGTTCAGACTCTGCTGACCCACAGAGCATACAGGGCAAGTAGGCAGGAAGGGGTTATTACCATTCAAGAGATGATGCACTTGCCTTGTTTTACTGTGATTGTGGTTTGGAAAACAACATGTTATCAGATGTTAGGAGCTTCTGTTATCATTGTGGCTGAATTTAATAGACAGTTGCCAGTCTCTTGTAATTGAACTCACAAGTCTCCAAACAGTGACTGGACACTGTTCCTTGCTTTGGTCTTCTAGTCACATTTTTGGGTGCAGGTCCTGTCAGACACCCTGCTGTAGAGGTAGGGGTCTCTACTGTTTGACTGCCCTAGAGGCCCTGAAGCCAGGGCTGAGACTGACCAAGGCTTTTGGTGTTTTACCTGAGTCCAGGTGGTTCACTGCATACTAAAATTGTAGGTCATGTCCTCCAGTGGTGATCCCAGTGTCAAGTGAAGGACAGAATTTGATACAGATTTCTACAGACACAAATTTCTATAGATCTATTAGAACTGTATTTATACACAGGAAGGTCAGATTTGCCCTTGGGTACATGGGTTCTGAGAGTTGCCCCTTCCTACACCTCTTCAGTGCTGAAGGGACCCTGTAACAAAGATAAAGGAGAATTGCTTAAAACAACACCTAGGCCCTGATATCTTCTTATTGATTTATGATAATATTTTTTATAGATCAGCTTTGGAAGAGATGCTGCAGACACAAACATCTGCCACCTTTTTGTTCAGAAATCAGAACTTTAAAAAATTACCAGGTTTCAGTAAAGCAGCCATGTTCACTTCTGTCTGTGTAGACTTAAGTATATCCTGGGTGCATCTACATGAGATGTTTACTGCAGAGTTGCCCAATTAGCTCTGCAGTAAGTGTCTTGCATCTACATGTGCAGTGTTATTAGGCCACAGGAAACTAATAAACACTGCAGTAGAGTGGTACTTGTAAATACAAGTACTATCCTAGTGCAGAGTTATTTACTGCATGGCACTGCACGTATAGACGCTGACCCAGGAGTAAACTGTGCCCAGTCAACCCAGTCAGCTGGGGGCCACGCTCCTGCCTGCTGCCTAGCCACATGGCAGCTACAAGAGCCTCATGACCCAACCATCTCCTCCACTGACCGACACAGCAACCTACTGCCTAGGCCTGACCCCTCCATGCCCCCTTCCAGCACAGGGCTTCCCCCCAGACCCTGGGCCACATTGCTGCCATGAGCCAGAGCCCAGGGATGACCCCCGTGTCCTCTGCCAGCCCAGGGCTGGCACCTGTGCAGCTGCAGCTAGAGCCTGGAACTCCTCCTGGCTGCTGCAGGGGGGCAGAGCAGCCTTGGCCTAAACTGCTCCTCCCCAGCTTAGTTTGCTGCTGTCCCAAGCACACGTGTAATCAGAGACAACCCAAGCAGGGTGTGGGGTCCCACCCCTGGATGCGAGGAAACTGGTGGCACATTCAGCAGCCAGGGGGATGCCAAGCAGCGAGACGTGAAGCTAGTGGCAGTGTGGAGTCACTGTGCTGCCTCAACCAGGTTAAACAGAGGCCTGAATTCCCTGGACTGACAGCTATTTTCACCAGGACAAAACCTACTTCACAATAGTTCCTCAATTAAAAAGAAATTAAAGAGGGAAGTGTGTGTGGGAGGGGCACAGGGATGGACATGTAAGCAAAGCAGACCAATCTGACACAACTCTCCATGTCTGTTCTTGTAGCCGAACTTACCAGCAGTCAGAAGAGATTGTTGCAGAGCTGGTGTACAGCTTCCTGATTCCAGAAGTAGAGAAAATCTCTGTTAAGGAGAAAGGTGAGGTATCTAATAATGTCATGTGGTTCATTGATTTTCCTGTGATTCATTAAGTGAAAAGTCCACAGTACCAACAGTTTCACTGTGATCTAAAGCTCCTCTTTCTGATCCATCAAGAAGCCACACCTTTTTCATAGGCTCCTCTGGTGCTTACTGTGAGGCTTGGGATGCAGTCCAGACCTCCTAGCAAGCCAGTTCAAATTCACCCCTTAGGTAAATACATCAGAATCCATGAAATTGCACCTGGAGCTAAAGAACTGTATTGTTCCTTAAAAAACAAAACTAGAACAGGGGATTTAAGTAATTCATCTGTGAGTAATCAAATATGCCCCAGCATCCAGTGACTGTAAAAGTCTCTATTAATTTATGCAAGTGTAAAATATACAAAGAAGCGTATAAAGTTGGCTTCTCTTTGTGCTTTTGTTTTTCTAATTTGTTGAGAACCAGGAGCAGAAATAATGACCTCAGGTTGATTGCAGTGATATCATATATTAGAGTGGAAAATTTTATCCTGTTTTAGAGAGAAGCATTGTTTCAAACAGGAATAGTATGGCTTAAAAGCGTAGGAAATAGGCAGACAGTAGAAAAACGTGTGTTGATGAAGGCCATGAAAGAGCATTAAGTCTTGTGTTCTGGGACCTCAGCTGGACTGACTTTGAAAAGTAAGTGTAAAAGTAGCATCAGAAGAGTTCAGTGTTTTCTCCTTCTGACTCTCGAGCAAATGTGCTTAGTTTCTTGGTAAAATATTTCCTATTACCACCAAGTATGAGCCATGCAGGTATTTTCTGGGATCTAAGAATCGTAGTAGTGTCTTTCTGTTGACTGTAGGAGCTAGAATCGACTCAAGCTGCCTTTCTCTTAGCTGTACTGGCTCTGCAGTTTTCCCAAAGAAGAACAAAGCCATTGTGATCACCAAAGTCTGAAGCCATAACACTGATGCACCCAGAGATCAGATCCATGAGTAGGAAGGGTCATGTTTATATAACCACTTTTCAGATTAGAACTACATTTTAGAGCATTACAAATAACAGCATGTACCACGACAATGTTTTCTGAGCATCAACACATCATGAAAAGTCACCTTCTAGCTACTGACATTTAGTTGCAAACCCAGGAAACAATCATGCAGGACAGAAATGAGGGGGGCAATGTCAACAGCTCAGTGAAACCCCTAACCCAGTGTTCTGCAGAGTCCAGAAAGAGGCAAAAGTTTAGGTTGCAGGGTCACCTTACTGATATGCCCTCACCTTGATATGCCTTGTTCATTTGGGGTCAGCCTGTCTCAAAACAGACCAAGTAGAAAGAGGGTCACACAATGGCCATGCCTGATCACAGGAACAGGGAAGACTCCAGCATGAAGAGACTGAAGAGAATGAGACGTTCAAACTTACAGAGGTAACTAGGCAAGAATTGAGACACTGAGTTTAAGCAAAGCTTCTCTGAAACAGTCCAAAGTGACAGAGGCAAAGACTACCAAAAGTCAGGATCAACTGGAACCAGAAATGGGTGCATTGCGCTCTGCCAGAGGTGCAGCTGTAGCTTTTGGGTTCCAGCTCTTGCAAGGAGCTCTTCTCCAGCCATCATCAGGAAGGAGCTATTGGGAATGTTCTAAGAACAACGGATTGGCATACCAGCCAGGATGGGGCCTGGCTCATAATTTACCCTGCTACTACTGCCCCTATGGTTCAGAACTCCGTAAGAGTAAAGAACTTCTGCCAGTTTTATGGTGGAGCCCAGGCTCAGGTATGAGGATCTTGTGCAGTCAAGTTTGCAGAGAGGCAGAATTACGAGGTAAGTAAGTTTCCCACTTCCCTGGACAGCTGAAGGGAACATCACATACTGCTATTTTGGTTAATACATGCACCATTATACTCGGCATGCTACAATTTCATGGCAGTGCAGAAAGCTGTGCTGGGAATTATTTAATTGACCAGATTATCTGTGAATTTATGATCTCTATTTTACCAACTTGGCACATTCTCAAGTTTATAAATTTTCCTTGGAACTGGCAGGACTCAGGGTGGCCTGCTAGATGAACAAATCCATCCGTGCCTCTGTCCCCCCATACACACAACTGAGGGCCACTGCTCTACCCTCTCCAGGGGAAAGTATGCGTGTTGGAAGTGGGTTGGCATGAAGGAAACAGCTACAGCTCATAGAGATCTTTGGCCCAGCCATGTGGAGGGTGTAACCCAAATAGGCCAATCACAGCTCAGGGGGGCTTTAAAAGGACAAAATTCACCCCTGCAATGTGAGTCCCCTTTTTTCTAGTTGGAATCACGGTGAGTGGATGAGGGCATGCAGCATCTCTCTGAATTTTAGTATTTCCTGTGGTGTTTCTGGAGATGATGTCAAAGTGCCTGGGATAGAAGGAGCATTGTCTGTAGACTAAGAATTGGCTAAAGAAAACAACTGAAAGCTCATATCAGATGAGAGAGGAACTGCAGAGCTTGGTGTGAGGTCTATCTAGTCTTATCTGACATTTTCATTCTGGATTTGGAAGATTGATAAAGTGCACATGGGCCACATTCAGAGATGACACTGAGGTCCCATCTGCACCCTGACATCTCCCTTGTTGGGGACCCAGTCCCAGCATATGAAACATCTGTGTAATTCAAGTTCTACAGTTAAAACATGACTTAGTCTCTCAGTGTAGGTGAACCCAAACCACAGGACAGACTTGGACCCTTTCAGGTTTCAAAAACTGTTAAAGTGTTCATTTCTACCTCCCTGCAGGAGGAGGGAGGTTGTTTTTGTCGTGGTGGGAATAGCTTCCAGTATCTGCAAGCTATAAAGAGAACAAGCAATGGCAAAAACTAAGAAAAGGGAAAGGCAGGCTAGGTCATTTTGTCTGGGAAGCTATCTCCCTAAGGAAGGGAATGAAGTGTATAAAGCCAAACTAGATTAGAACTATAATAGGTACAGTCCCACACTGGCCTTAGGAGAATGGACCGAGTAACCAAACAGGTCTGCTCCCTCCATGGGTCCAGGCAAACTCTGAACCTAGCATTCAAAAACAGCCCAAATCAGACATGTGCATCCAACAGCTTATTGTGACTAGTGAGCAGTGGCAGGGAAGTGATTGTAAAATACAGGCTTTTGCTGAGGGCACTTTTGCCCCACGCTGAAAAGAAACGCATCTGATTTTGCTTCCCATTCCCATCACTCGCCTGCCATGCTCACTGCAAGGTTGTCTGCAGCTATTAGGTGGCAGTAGAACCCTATCAGCACAAAGCAGAAGGGTGTGATTTTTCCGGAGCCAGGCTTTTCCACAGCTTCTGCTGACCAAGGGCTGCACTCTCTTTCTTACCTTGCAGAGAAGTCATAGCAAGGCAGCATCAAGCAACAATTCTCTCTCTGTTCTGTACAGTGAGGCAGTCTCAGCGGAAACACATCAATGCAGCTCACCAGATCATCCACGGAGGCACAGACATGGTAGTGGCACAGAGCTCCTCTATGCTACCCGAACAGGCATTGCACAAAGGAGTCCTGGAAGGGTCTGTGATCGGGTTGACTGAGAGCTCTTCCAGTGCAACAGTCAGCTCCACTCTCAGCAGCACAGCTACTGAGCCAGAGGCAACAGAGCACCCATTTGTGACCCTCACCAAGCAAGTACCCTCTGAAATGGTGCAGAAGGGAAGCCAAGGTGGGTTGGCAGAGACAGACAAGGGCACGCAGGATGACATCACTCCACAGAAGGAGACAGGAGATGAATAGGGTGAGTCTGCCTGTATTTTCCCCCTTGGGGCCTTGCAGCTTCACCCCCCTGAAAAGGAAAGGAAGGTGGGAAGTTGCACCCAGAGCGTGCAGGCTGAGGGAGCATCTCTCCCTAGTAGGGTGACCCTATGTGAGGGTAGCAGGTTCTGGATTGTGCAGCTGGCAGCCACCATCACTGCCCAGCATGTATTGCAGCGTGGAAGCCCCTGCTTAGAGCAGCCTGCAGCAAGCTTTGGTGTAATGCCTAGGAGACTTCCCATCTAAGCCTTGAAGTTCCTTGTCTGAACATCCGGATGCAGGGAGGTTAGCCTAGGGGCATAGGAGCCACAGCACTCCTCATTCCTTGTACTCTGCCACCAAGTTGCTGGGTGATATTTTACAAGGCCCCTGACCCTCTGTGCTTAGACGTAAGAGCAGTGTGGGGTCCAACTAATTGTGTCCAACAATTGGAGAACTTTAGATCATAGAATGACAAAATTGTAGAAAAGTAGGACTGAAAGAGACCTCAGGAGGTCACATCTAGTCCAGCCCCCCCAGTCAAAGCAGGATCATCCCCACCCATATAACTGTTTGTCTAACCTGTTCCTAAAAATAAGATATATTAGCCCAAACACTAAGGGCACTTGAAACTGCCACAGGTAAAGCAGCAGGATGAGGACACTGTCAAGGTCCAGCCACTACAAGGGTTGTTAAAATACACTTGGGAAAGCTAAGGAAGTGGGCCACACCCCTGGTTGCAGAGGAAGTTAAACTCTCCATACCAATCTGACCCTGGGGTAAAATCTCTTTCTGACCCCAAATGTGGTGATTGGTGTGACCTTGGGCAGAGGAGCAAGACTCTCACCAAGAACCCCCAGGGTTTAGTCCCAGCAGTTCTGACAGACTCCAGGCAGAATCCCCAACCCTTGCTGCAGCCAACATCCAATGCTTGTGAGGAAGGTGAAGAAATAAATCCCGACACATGTAGCATCAGGATGGGGAAAAAAATTCCTTCCTGTCCCCATGTGGCAACCAGCAAAGCCCAGAAGCCTGGGAAACACCAAACACCTTCCACTTTGTTTTGCAACCTAGGGACAGCAAACACCTTCACACATCACCTCTCCTGTCATCCTTTCCTTTCCATAAGCTTATCCCAGCCCCTTTAATCTTCATTCACAACTGAGCTGGCTGTGTAACTATGACCGTATGACCTCTGCTTCATTCTGCTGCTGCTGGGTATGGTCTTCTTTGGTGTCCACCTACTCTGGGCTGCAGAAATCATCCGTGATCTCCCAGCAATTCATGCTAGAGGTGCTCCTGGGTTTCCAGCTAGTGCTTTTCACAGCCCGCTCTACCCGGGCTACTCCTAGATTGCCCCTGAGCAGCACTTATCCAGCTTCACGAGCACCTCCAGTGAAGGAGATTCTACAGCTCCTCCAGGCAGTCTATTCCACTGCCTCACTGTTGAGATGAGAGATGCCATAGCAGCAGGGAGCATACGGATTGGACCACAGTCTGAGGTCCATACCCAACCTGACCCCCCACCAGTCACTTCCATATGATCAGCTCATTATTAACACACTCTGAAGCTGAACAGGCACTGCTCTGCTGCCTTTGACATGATCAGTAAGGGCCAGAGCCAGCATGACTCTATCATAGGATTAGCCCTCCTCACAGAAGTGCCTCAGTGACACTCAGCTGAGCAGATCTGGCTCTCGTGTGTCAGAGCTGTGGTGGCAGAACGGCCTGTAAGATAACAGATTTCTATAGGTTTAGCATCGAAAGCTTAGGTGGACCTGTCTGCCCACACCCAGCACATCCAGTTCTTCAGGAAACGTGACATGGCCACAGCAGACATCCAGAGTGCTTGCTCACTGCTGCCATGCCATAATCTAGCTACTTGTTTAAAGTCAATTTATGGCATAAGCTACCAGGTTCCCCTCCACTGCCAGGGTAAGGCTGGGTTGCTAGTGTTTCTGTGTATTGCCTCACTTAGCAGCATGAGCTGGCCACTATCTGTGCCTGGTTACCACTGTTGCCTTTTGTACCTCAGGGGTGCTGCTGAGTAAGTAGCTGCTAATGCCCTGTGCAGCTCCATCTTTCTGAAATACCAGCAGCAGTTGTTTAGAGACTTAGCCTCAGTGGCCCCTACAGGATCTGTGCATTTGCTCATCTTTGTTGTGATATTTAGGGGGAAGAATTAGAAACAGAGGGCACAAAATAACAGTGAGTGAATGCAGTGCAGTCCTATACCTTACAGAGCAGCAAGTCATGGGAGAAGGGGAGTCAAGGAAAAGAAAGTGATTGCACACCAGTGTGACAACACATGGGCACTGGCTGGACCTGTTGGACTTCATCATTGTTGCAGATGTAGTAGAGAGGGATAAGAATGATTAATGACATGGAGAAGCCCTCCTGTGAAAAAAGGTGGAGGTGATCAGGGTCACATGAGTATTCAGCTGGAAAGGACTTCAGGAGGTGACCTAGTCCCACTGATTGCTCCCAGCAGGACAGTCCCTATTTATGGGGTGGGATGGTTACATGCAGGAGACAAAAAGCAGGCAACAATGAAACAACCTAGGTGTAAAACATCAAGCAGGACTGAGAAGGTGGAGCTGGATCTCACCTTCTCCTGTCTCATGGCCAGAGCAGACATTCAGTGAAACTGGAAGGTGGCCAGAGAAGTGCTCTCCCACTTGCTGCACAATCAGGCTGTGAAACTCTGTGCCCATGGATTTTCCAAGACTCAAAGAAGCATTGGACATTGCTGTAGATGGCAAGGATGCCTGGCATGGATAATTATTTTGAGAGAAATAAAAAACTTGATGCTGAAGGGCTTAAGCTTCTCTCTCTTCCAGGTCAAAATGAGCCCATCCTGAGGGCAGTTGTCCCGTTTTGGCTGGCTGAGGGGGTTCCTTCACCTGCTTGGTATCTCCTGAGGCACAGGCTGCTGCTATAGATGGGACACTGGGTGAGAAGGACCTCTGGCTGGATCCAGCCTTGCACTTCCTCTGTTTCTAAACACACATGGTGAAATAAATGTGCTCTCTGCTTCTTGGTTCCATGTATGACATGACTGTTTATTGGACAAAGATGTCCCAGCTCCTGAAGGCAGGAATGTGGTCTTCACTGCCCTTGCCTGGCACCATCAGTCTGTCCCTGCTGTGGGTCCCAGGTGGCACAGGAAGACTATGTTGAAGAATCATAGAAAAGTCAAGCTGGAAGGGACTTGCAGAGGTCATCTAATCCAACCCTCTGCCTGAGGTAGGATCGTCCCTATCCAAACCGTCCCATACAAACCATAATCTAAATTTTACATAAGACTGCCCTCAACCCTGACACAACATAGACCTAACACCCTAACCTGCCACAAGCAAAGCCAGGGAACCATGGCAGCCAATGTCCTGATTCTATAAAAAGTTGTCAATATATGCTCAAGAGGTCTCAGGTAGAAGGCCATACCCTGTCTACAAAGGAAGGCAACCCCCCACACAATCCACACCAATCTGACCATGGGGTAAAATTCCTCCCCCCAAATATGGCTATCAGTCTGACTCTGACCAAAGGGGCAAGACCCTCTAGCCAGGAACCTCCGGCTTTACTCCTAGCAGGATAATCCGCACACCCTAATTGCAGTCCCTAGCCCTAGCTGTAGCCAACACCCAATGCCTCTGAGGAAGGCTTAAAAACAGTGACATGTAGCAGAAAGGGGGCGGGGGGGGGCAGAAAAGCCCAGACGCATGGGAAATGCCCATAGTAGAACATAGGCATGGCTGCATCTAGATCAGCCCCAATCTGGCTGTTCAGCCTCTTCTTGAACACCTCCAGTGTGAAAGACTCCACAACTTCCCTAGGCAGTCTTCCATGGCCTCACTGTTTTAACAGTGAAGAAGTTTTTCCAGCTTTCCATCCTAAACTTACTTTGCTGCAACTTTAAGACATTGGCCTGCATCCTCCTCTCAGTAGCAAGAGAAGAATGGTGCTTTCCCTCTTCTTCAGTATTCCCTTATCACAGGAGCAGGCAAAATGCAGCCTGGGGGCCAGATGTAGCCCGCCAGGCCATTCTATCTGGCCTGCTGGGCCCCTAAATAAATTTAGAAAATTGATATTAATCTGCCCTGGCTGCCTGTCATGCGGCCCTCGATGGTTTGCCAAAACTCAGTAAGCGGCCCTCCGCCCAAAATAATTGCCCACCCCTGCCTTATCATGTAACCTCTTGCATGAAAGTCATGGTTGGCAGGATGCACACAGGACAGTGCAGCATTATACCTGCTGTTCTCCACCTCCAGAGACCTAGGAGTTACGTAGGATTCTTGGCAGAAATGCTTTCAGCTGTCATCCACAGTCTCTTTGGGAGTTCGCTGGAGGTAGGACTGCGGCTTGACCAGAAAAGGGCAGAGGCTCCACTTCCTTCCCTGGCAGAGAGAGTGTACGGCCTTTAGGTCATCTCTGTGTCTGAAATAGGCTGGCAGTTCCTCCAGGCCTGCACCAAACACAGCTGGCACACAGGAAACTTGCACTAATGGTGACTGTGGTTCCCATGCAGACTTGCCATGATGGCTGCTCCTGGCCATGCTGCAGGGGAAGTTTGCAATAGCTGAGGAGACCTGCTGATGCAAAATGAGATGGCAAAACGTGGCTCCTGTGTTCTCTGCAATACAAGGGAACCAGGGATCCCATTCCTCTGAATCAGGCTCCCCAGGGCTGGTGTACTGATGCAGACTGTCTCATATAGACAGGGCCCTAAGAAGGGGTTTTCTTGGGTAGCGCTGCCCATGCATACCTTTCCAGTGCTGACATAGCTTATAAAGCTCTGCTTTTACCAGACCAGCTCAGATCAGTTCCTGGTACAGGACACTCCGTAGCAACAATGGCACTTCCACCAATGTAACAGCATCTACTCTAGGACTCTTGCCAACCAACATAAAAACATCTTAAAAGCATTGCCCACAAGGGTGGAAACAGATGCCATCTGACATCTCATTTGTGCTGCCATAAACATGCTTATGGCATCACAAATGGTGAGCTAATATCGCTGCCTTTGTTGTGCCACATCAAAGGAAAAATCAGTGGCACAACAAAAGGTAGTGATAGACTTTGCCACTTTATTGAGGCAGACATCTATTAGCTCCATGGCAGGAGAGTACAGGCAGCCTGAGCTGCTTGTGCTCTCCAGCCAGTCCAGGTAGGTGCTCTGGGGGCTTGAGGGAAGCTGGGGCACCTCTCTAGATGCTGGGGATTCTGAGTGCCCTGTTCAGCCGGCCCCATCCACCGTGACCGCAGGAGCAGGTCTTGCTGAGCGGGGAAAGTGGGGAGATCACATCACCCTGTCCTACACCATCATGGGCAGGACAAGGGATGATGCGTTTCACCCAGTGGAAGGGATTGGCTGTGCCCTGGCACATTCTTGCCTTGGTGACCCTTCTACATCAACTGACAGGTCTCATGCCAGCTGGGCCTTAGAGCTGTTACCAGACCTCTGGCATCTTCTCAGTCGCACTATTCCTGACCACACAAATGCATAGGCAATATCTGCCCTCCAGCAGGACAGATTCACCCCTGTATCACTGTGGCAGAAAGCCATCTCTGTCTCTCCCCAAACTCTGCTATCTGACAATTTGGTTACCATGGTCACTGCAGAGGGCAGACTCCTCTGACCCTGAGTTGTAACCTGAGCTGGATACGTTCCTGAGGGGTGAAACTTGCTCCCTCTGCCTACTGACTGGCCTCACACACCTGGGTGGGGGCTTAAGCTCCCTATTGTTCTAAGCAATGCCAACACGACTGGGAGGGGGCTAAAGACCCTGCCAGTCTACCCAGCAACCAGTGATGCATTTCAAATTGGTTGGCTGGCAGTCAACAATTGCTGGCCTTCACTGGATCAGGTAAATGAGGTCATAAGTTCAGGATTGCCCAGGAGGAGGGGCAGTAGCCATGATGAAAAACTCCGAGAAAAGCCGGACCATTTGAAACTCTCTCTCTCTCTTGAAACTCATGATCAAACTGCTTGCCTCCAGAGGGAATCTCCACCTGCCTTTGGATGATACTTATGAGTAAGCTACCTGAGATCTAACTAGATATATAGCTTGCAGTAACACAGAGCTACCATGCCACTTTGCTGTAAGGCATTTCTCTGATATTGCTCTCCTCTGTACCCTATTCCAAACTTACTCCTTGTAAGTAATAAAATTTTCCTTTGTACCTAGCGTGGGAGACTTATTAGGAGAGGGTCTAGATTAGGCCTTTGGGTCCCCTTGGTTCAGCTGATTAAGGGAGACCACTATTTGTGCTTCAGACTGAGAGAAACACCCCAAGTTCTTGCAGTGGGTCAAGTACCCTCAAGGGCTAATAGTCCTGTGTTTCCCAGAGGGCACAAGTCCTGGATCAGTCCAGACTCTGGGTGGTGGCAGCATTACCCCCAGGCTAGCAGATGTGCTCCAGGAAGGGGGTTGGCTAGACATGAGGTGCTTTCAGGGAGGCACTTGGAGCCTGGAAGGTGGTTGGGAGCAGTGGGGTGGGTGGCTCAGCACAGCAACCCTCTACTTGCCCGCCACAATCATTCTGTTGGTGTCAGGTCCCATCAGCCCTATGGTTGCACAGAGGACATATCCTTGGCCTCCTGTCCAAGCCCACAGCTCCCAGCAAAGCCCCATCCATGCTGTCACCAGCTTCTGCCACCCAAGATCCTTGTCCTCAACCGGCTGTCTAGTCAGTGCCTCTCTCAACCTCCCTCTGTACAGCTCTGTACAGCTCCCTCCATTGATGCACAGCGAGTCAGGTGTTTGCTAAAGAAGATGTCACCCCAAAAACCCTGTGCCATAAAGCTGGGAACACCACTTAAACCACAACCATTGTTTTTTCCATCTCAGTGCAGTCAGACACTGACCCTGTGAAAAACCCTCATGCTGAAAGACAAGCAGCACTTGCCAGCAACTGACACCCCAAGGAACAGGAAGGCAGCCCTCCATCCAGTGGCTGTGGTAAGGGCATGGATGGGAAGGCTGGGAACTTCTCCTCTCTGTCCACTGCAAAAGAGAAGGGAGAGATCTGGAACAAGGAAATGCTGCAAAGGTGCAATAGGGAAAGGAGACCCCTGTAGTGAATCTGAGCGGACACACTGGGAACGGGAGATAACCTGTCCTCGTGAGAGTCAGAGATGTTACTTGCCCCCCAACCCCTTCCCCTTCCCCCACCCCAGCTTCAATCAAAGAGCGGGGAGGTTAGAAGATTGATGGCTCCCAACAAAGGCAAAAAGCAGAGGACAGACCGGTGGGCCCCAGCACTGAACATGCTGGAAGAATGGTAGTAGACAACTGGACCTCCTTCCTCCTGGAGATAGGGCCTCCCTGCTGAGGCCTGTTGGTGTTGGGCATGAGTGCTGTGACGAGGGGTTAGAAACGTGTGTTCCTGGGCAGCCCGGCCTTGGAGCAGGAACAAACAGATGCACCTGATGCATCAGCTGCAGGAAACAGCACCACTGCCTGAGGTTGAGTCCAAGCAGCCCTGTGCCATGGGGGTGAGTCAGGGAGTCAGTAACAACAACTCAACTTTCTGCCCTGTCTCTTCTCACTGCCCTGCATGCACATGCTCTGCAGCCCGTAAGCAGGTTGCCTGGCCAGTAGACTCTGCTCCCTGACCAGCTCCCCAGCCAGCCCTCCCAAATAAAACACAGTTGCTACGTAGAGAACAAATGAACAAACAAAGCCAAACCCTTCTGCCTGCCCTGGGCACTAGGAGGAAGCCCCCTGCTCAGCCCCAACAGAGCAGCCTGGCCCGCCCATGGCAGCAAGCTGGTTCTGCACAGCAGAGTGAGCAGGCATGTGGTTGCCTCCTGTCCTCTCCCTTAGGGTCCCAAGCTATCAGAGAGACACTCTCAAATGTCCTGCAATTGGGCTCTCTCAACAGAACTTACTGTTCCCTTTTAAAGGGACAGACTGCCCTGTTA